TTTGCTCTATTTATTCTCCCTGTGTATCTCGAATCGGAAGCGTGCAAAAAATTTGGGAGTTGGATTCCTAGCGCTAAGCACCTGCGACTGGATTGTTATTCTTCAAACATCAGTGGTTCAGCAAGTCGGCAGAGGTGAGGTTGAGTTGTTCAGGCGTCAGATCGCCTGAGGCTCTGCGGCCGGGGATCCGGACGTCAGCCAGTTGAAAACAAATGAGTAAAAGATTCCTTTTAGTACTTCATCGTTAGAAGTGGGAACCGCATTCCCGGAAGATATATCGTCATTTGATAGAACTGAAACGCGGTCCGATCCGAAGCCTTGCCGGCCAGCGGCTCTCACGCGAGCGGTAGATCTGCTTGGCGTACTTTAACCTTGCTCCTGCTTATTGCTTCGAATATGATAACTCCGTTAATCGTAGTCTGCTGTTTCAATATTGAGTTGCACAATAAGATAAACTCGAAATTTGTTACCCTGTTCCTCCACGCAACTGCACGTCCGTTGCTTGCGCACGTCACGTGGTTCGCGCATATAATTACTATGTTGAGCATGTGGGGGTTGTGCGATATGCAGTGCTTTTTTTTTAAATTTCGAGCAGCTGTAAGCCACTCAGACAATATCAAGGATACTATCTGCATAAACGTCTGGTACTTGCCTTTTGATCCTCATTAAGGCTCACAAAGTTTCAAGTTTTCGCATCTGTTACTCTGTTATCCCATCTCCCCAGGTCCCTAAACACTCATGTTCATCTGTGCTGCTAAGCACAATTGAAATTGCTCCCGTGCTTGTCTAAGACACAAGCTGAAGTGCAGTGAAAACTTATCTGAGCTGCTCCTAGCCTGCTCCAGGTTTTAGCTGCTCCCAACCTGCTCCAAAACAGCTGTTTCAGCTGCTCCCGTGGCTGCTCCCAAGTACATTTTATGAGTTCCACCCCTGAACTAGCATATCTTGCCTATGTAAGGCCACTTCTAGATTACGCATGCACTGTGTGGGACCCTTCCAAAAAAAAATCGCATTGATGGCTTGGAAAAAATACAAAATCGTGCCGCACGCTTCGTCCTGGGCCAGTACGACCGTTTTTCTAGTGTAACATGAAACAATTACTAGGATGGGCGTCATTGGATCTTCGGCGAAAAAATTTACGGTTGAAATTTTTATACAACATTTATCATGAAGCTACTGGTATTAATAGCTCATCATACCTCTTAAAACCAAATTATTTTTCCAAACGTAATGATCATGTGCACAAGATACGCGAATACTGTACTAGGACGGAGCTCTGCGAAAATTCGTTTTTTGTGAGGACGGTCAAGGACTGGAACGCTTTACAGGAATGTATAGTTTGTGCTGCAAATGTTGATATGTTCTTTTCGTTATTATTCGCCCCCTGCAATAATGCCTTCTAGGCGCTGCAGGAGTTCCCTGAATAAAGAATAAAGAAAAAAACCTACACTCACCCAATTTGAGCACGATAAATGTACCACCAAAAGACATACTAGAAAGATTAATGGCCCTCAACTGAAATTTTTTACGTCCGGACACCGCTTGGAGACATCAAGTATATACTCAGATAAAAAATAAAAAGAAAATGGCTTACGTTATAGTGTGCAGATTCTAAGTACTTTGTAGACACACTTCATTTGGTCCAAATAAGCGCCACAGCAAAGGTTGAAGCGCATGTGAGCGATTTAGCGAGCTACAGGAGCCGGTGAAGAGCAACAGAGATTTCTCACTGTCGCTTGCCGAATCGCTCGGATTTCAGATTTCTAGAAATTTCTAGAAAGTCTGTGTCTGCAGTGCCGTCCGAAGGAAAGTCGGACGACGCGTGTATCTTAATAGGTGGGAACAGCGCAGGAAAAAACCGACGAAGGACGAGTAGAAGAAGTGCACAGACACAGCGCTGTGCACTTCTTCTACTCGTCCTTCGTCGGTTTTTTCCTGCGCTGTTCCCACCTATTAAGATGCTTAACCAACTCGCCCAACTCTCTGCCGTGACGCATGTATCACAGGAAAGCTCGTTAAAGAGGCCATTTTTTGAGCTACCTCGACTAACTATATTTTCTGACTCCCCGGCCTTTCCTTTCCAGTATGCTATTTAGTATCGCGAAATTCATAATAGTTATTGCGAAATCGGCAAATGAAAATGATGCAAAAACCAACATTCAAATATACCTGCACTTTTCAGTGCCGTGACGTCAGTGGCGGGCAGACTTGCCAGTCAAGCGAGCAGTCTAAAAAATAGAATATGCCAATCATTTGTTCCGTGCTGGAGCGCGAGTCCTGGAGCGAGCTTCCAAAGCATTCATTTGACACCATGAAACTGCTTCGAATCAGTTGGGAACAAATTCTACAGTCCAAAGAGTGAACCCCTGCACTTCCACTGACGTCACTTTTTCCTTGTTGTCAGTAGACTTTCAGTTTGAAAAACACGATGAGGACCAAAATTGTAAATTCAATAACTTCGCGGAAAAAATTATTTTGACCTAATATTTGGGATACTATTTTAGCGATGTTGTTTGGCGAGTTTAGAAAAATTTCAAGCAAATCGGAGACCATGAAGAAATTGCCGAAGTACCCCTTTAACCCAGTCCCACCGCCTGCATTCACGCCGCTTGGCGGCGACAGAATGCGGCTGCTAATTACAAAACTATTAACCCACTAGGCCCCGCCGTACACGCCGCTTCGCGGCGTCTAGCCAGCAACACAAGCCACGCTGTCCCCCATGCACCTCCGAAAAGGGAGTCCCATATTCTTTTGTTCCGCGAAGTTTCGTCAACAACCCTTGTTTTTTTTTGTTTTTCAATGTTAATTCATAAAAAAAGAATGCAGTGTCTAGCGTTACGTCCGACAGAGCCTGAAATACAAATTAAGGTTACGTCCCACGTAACTTTACGTCAAGGATTCGAGTAATGTCCCATGTAACCCAATATGAAAATTAAAGTTACGTACGGAACTCTAAATAAAAATTAAAGTTACGTCTGACGTAACTTTAACCCAAGGTTTCGAGCTACGTCCAACGGAACTCGAAATAAAAAAATGAAGTTACCCCCACCCGCTGCCCGTTCCGACCTGGATGACTTTCGTACCGACGTAGGTCGTAGTATTGGCACGCATTTGTGTAATTACTACTTCGTGGTGCACGTTAAAGACCCCAGGTTAGCGATTGTACTGCAACGGCTAACTTTCTCATCTACAGCTAAGAGACAAGTCACCTGTGGAGGCGTACTAGCATGAAAACTGTCTAAACATACGAGCAACACGGTTTTTCTAGATCATGGCACATATAGGGGCTTTAGACACGATGATGGGCCCTCAATCTGTGGTACGAACCACGAACAAACACCCCAACACTGCTATCTCAGGTTCGCAGCATGCGTGCTGCGGTTTCCATTTTGTTAATGTTTTTCCTTTCTTTTGTGGGGGGATCTCTTTGCCCTACTGCCTAAGTGTCATAAAGAGTGGGAACATGCGTGGTTTTTCTTTAAATGCATGTGATGTTAAAATATTAGCGTACGCAGATGATGTTGCGATTTTTTGTAGTGATAGAGAAAGCGTCTCAGCGGCTGTTCAACTCACGAGATCATATTGCGCCCAGACAGCGTGTGCTGTGAACTGGGCGAAATGCTTGGAGATCTGGCACGGCCACTGGGACGTGACTCCGCGTGTGTTTGAATCTATTCAGTGGTCTACAGAGCCCGGTGTATACTTGGGAGTGCCTTTGAACAATTACCGTGAAAGCAACGAGCTCTGGCGTAACAAAACAGAGGAGATGAGTCTTAAAGCCGCGAAGTGGGGTGGCAAGGAATTTTCTATCTTCGCACGGGCAACAGTGTGTAATTTATTTTTTGTTGCAAAGATTTGGTACCTGTTACAGGTTCTGCACTGCTCTCGTGTGCATTTGCAACGCATGCACCGGGTGATGGCCGTGTACATATGGAAGTCTACCTGGGAAAGGACTAGACGAGATAACCTTTTTCGCCGCGTGAAGTCGGGTGGGCTTAGTTTGTCGCATTTGTTCATACGACAGCTGGTATCGAGGTTTTTCTTTTTGCGAGACCAAGCTGACCCGTTTCTGAGAACTGTCATTCAAGTACGGTTGTTCAGAGAGTTACTCGAGTTCATTGTTTCGACGTGTGACACATGTGAAGGCCAAGTAACGGGCTTTCTTAGAGAGGTTGTTTGTGCGTACCAATTTCTTAGTGTGCGATTTTCAAGAGAGTACTTAAACTCTGTCACACGAAAGCGTTTGAAGCGAGATCTTGTTGAATGCCTGTTTCCCGTCCCATTGTATCGCTCTTTGTTCTCCGACAGTACTGACCGTGATGTGCTTTCCCGCGTGAAAAGAATGCTAGTTCCCGGATCTGTGAAAACCTTTTATTTTAAACTACATACCAACACGCTTCCAGTAAAGACATGGTTAGCAAAAAAGGGCATGTTTGTACCATGGAGCGAGGACTGTATTTTGTGCAAGAAACCGGAGACCGTGGAGCACGTGTTCCTGGACTGCTGGGATGCTATCCTGTTCTGGGACGTGCTCCAACGCACTCTTAAAAAAGACCTACCGCTCACGGCTCGGGGAATACACTTTTTGTCTGTGGAAGGGACGCCTTTCCCATATGACCTCGTATTTTTACTGGGCCTGCACGCTATTTGGAGATGTAGGATGGCAGTTCGTCACGCGGATCTGGATGCCCGTCCAGTACGGTATTATTTCATTGAAAATATAAACTTGATAGCAGCTGTCTACGAGAAAGTATGTCTGGAACTGGAGTGGTTGCCTGCATTTTTGAAGCTGTCGATGATGAGAGAATTTTAACAATTCTCACCGCCTCTCCAAACCTTACAGGCGACGTTCTATCGTCGCCTTCACTAACGTCGTCAATATGATATTGCACATGTTCAAGTGAAATTTGTTGTGCAATGTGAATCTTTGTTCACTGTAAAAATCTTGCAATAAAAAAAAAAAAGGATCGGTGGCCGAGTGGGCTAAAGCGCATTCTACTTCCGGTGCTCGTTGGGTGCGGACGGTGGAATCATGAGCTCCGTAGGAGCGTTTCCAACGGCCGGTTTCGGCCGCGGTTTTTCTGCTTATGACGTTCCCCAAGACTACAAGATTCTTCTGCCACCCCTGACTTCAGGTACCGCTTCTTTGAACTCTGTTTTTCTTCACTGTGACGTGTCTGAGCGGCCATATCGACTCGACGATTTTCGTAACGAGATAGCGCGGCTCGCCGTGCTCAAGGACATTGCAGCGTTCGGCGCGTTTCACATGAATCATGTGTGGATGCTTACGTTTCACTCTTCAGCTGCAAAACAGAAGCTCGTGAAGGAAAAACAACTTAAAATTAAGGGGAAACTTTGCCTCGTCATCGATCCGGACACCAGCGACGTGAGCCTCAAGCTTCACTGGGTGCCGTTTCACGTGCCTGATGAATCCGTCCGGAGGGCTCTCGAACCCTACGGGAAAGTGCTAGAAGTTGCGCGAGACAAAGTGCGCTCAGGTTTTTTTGCGGGGATAGAGACGAAGACAAGGCTCGTTCGCATGACGTTGAAAGATGGTGTGACCAGGGAGAGCCTCCCGCATCAGTTGAAAATGCCCGGAGCGAGCGCGCTGGTTCTGGTGCCGGGTCGAGCGCCGTTGTGCCTCAGATGCAAGAAGACTGGGCACATTCGCAAGGATTGCCGAGCTCCCCGCTGCCTGGAGTGTAATCGCTACGGGCACGAAGCCTCCGACTGTGTGCGCACGTATGCGTCAGTCACTAACGCGGAGGTACCGGAAGAAGTTAGCGACCACATCATGGAAGCGGATGAAGCAGAGGCAACCTATGGCACCGACATTGCTAGCACTTCAGCTGACCCACTGCCACTGACAGCGACTGACACAGCAGAGCAATCACCAGTAGAAGCAGCCCAGGGAAGGCAAGACGGCACGGACACCGAGGGCCCAGTCTCAGGAGTGCTCACACCAGGCAACCCCAGCCGCAAGGAACACTCCTCGGGAAATTTGGAGTTCAACGAAGAAACAACTGCACCAGAAAGCACGGCCACCTCAGTGCAAGAAGTCGACACTGCCAGCGCTGTGGAACAATCCCAAGCAGACGCAAGGGACGGCCTCCCCGGACCAGAGCTCTGTGACTGGTCTGCCTGCAGTCAAATCCCCGACAAACCATCACGCTGTGAGTTGAAGTGGAAAGACACCGCTTTGCGAAAGAGCAGATTCGACCCAAAGCCCAGAAACACCCCGGACGACCGCACGCGAGGTCACTCGAAACAGTAAGCCTTTCTCCTTTATTCTTTCACCTCGCCGTAGATTTAAATGCGAGGGCCGCTCAAAGTAGCCACATTCAATTGTGTCAGCTTGATAGCACGGAAACGCAAACAGTGGCTCCTAAACCTACTATTGAAGGAACGGGTTGACATAGCGTTTTTACAAGAGACTAAGCTATCAGGCGAAAAGCACAATGAAGATATGCTATCTTTTTTTGAGCGACACTTTCTTTTTGTTTATTCGAAAGCCGTCGGATACAGTGCTGGCACAGCGTTCCTTCTTCGAAAAGATAAGGGTTTCCAAATCGCTCCGGAATGGGAAACCGACCAAAGCGGCCGTATTTGCTCCATCGATGTTATACATGACGATGCGCTTGTAAAACTAGTGGCAGTGCACGCGCCAAATGAAGCTGCGGACCGCAAGGACTTTTTCAAGAACTTGCGGCAATATTTAGATACGCCATGCCCCACCATTCTGGCAGGCGACTTTAACTGTGTGCTGAGTGGTAAAGACTCTTCAAATGGCCTTCTGTCGGACTCCAGCCGTGTGGAGCTGCGTAAGCTGCTGCGTGATTACGATTTGCACGACGCAACAGAGTCCATTTCGGCAGCTGTGCCGGGCTTCACACATTGGCAGGCGAGCTCGCACGCAAGGATCGACCGGGTCTACGTGTCCAGCGAACTGGAAGCCTCATTAGACGGTTATGAAGCGCTGCCCGTTGCCTTCTCCGATCACGCGCTCGTAATCGTGCGTCTGGGAAAACACACCAAATCGCGGCGGTATAGGTCCGACTGGAAAAACTGGAAAATGAACGACAGCTTGACAGAGGATGAGGAGCTGAACAATAAAATTAAGGATCTCATTACGCAAGCAGCTGGATTACAACATGTGGACGCTGCTAGTTGGGAACAGATGAAAATAAGCCTAAAAATGGAGATTATACAACACAGCCAAATGAAGGCGCGTGAACGAAAAAAAGATCGAAGCTCACTTACAAGATGCCTTAAGCGTTTAATTGAAGAAGAAAACGTGTCCCCTGGACTCTTTACGGAAGACATCCGTAACTGCAAAGAGCGCCTGCTCGCCATCATGGAAAAGGACTATGAGGGAGCAATGATTCGGTCGAGAGTTCTCTCCGTGGAGAAAGATGAAGTGCCTGGAAAGATTTTTAAAACGAAAGAACGGCAGCGGGCTCAATTTAATAAGATCTCGCAGCTTCAAGTAGGCCCGGAGACTGTCTCGGAGCAGGCCGCCATAGAACAAGCGCTCCACATGGCTTTTGAAAAGCTGCTGGGAGTAGACAGTTTTCAAGATGGTGAACTTTTGCAAAGCTTCTTGGAACAGATGCCTTCCATCCCGGCGGACGTTAGGGAAGCCATAAATGAAGACATCACCGAAGCAGAGGTTGCCAGCACGATAAAAGAGCTGTCTCCTCGGAAATCTCCTGGCGTGGATGGCCTTGGAGCGGCGTTCTACAAGAAGTTTGCAGATCTATTGGTCCCTCTTCTCTGCAGGGTTTTCTCCGACATCCTTGCACGAGATCTTCTCCCTCCATCCATGCGGCAGGCGATGGTAGTCCTCATTCCCTAGAAGCGCTCTCCTCACAGCTGTCCGAGCGTTGAAGACTTCCGGCCAATAAGCATCCTCACGACGGACTATAAAATTCTAGCAAAGATCTTAGCGAAGAGGCTTGACCGGGGCATTCGTTGCGTGGTTGGGGACCATCAAGCTTATGGCATTCGTGGTAGAAGCATCCAGGACAATCTGCACATGATGAGAGTCATGTGCGAAGACGCATTAGTGGAGGGCAGCCCCCTGGCCGCGCTCCAAGTGGATCTCAGCAAGGCCTTTGATCGTGTCTCTCACTGGTTCCTCTTCCGGCTGCTGGACCATTGTGGCATAGGCGAGACGCTCGGCAGATACGTCAGGATCTGTTACAAGGATATATCGACCAACATCAAGGTCAATGGAGGCCTCACCAAACCTATCCCCGTCCGCTCATCGGTTCGTCAGGGCTGCCCTATGTCGCCGGTGTTGTTCTCACTCTATCTTGAACCCCTGTGCCGGCGCATCATCAATGACAGTGCCATCAGAGGATTCAACTGGGCGCCAAGTCTACTAAAGGTACTTGCATACGCAGACGACTTAACTCTGTTGTGCTCCTCACGCAGTGAGGTGGAACTAGCGCTGAAGCACGTTTCGGACTTCTGCAGTGTGTCCGGTGCTCGACTGAACGAAAAGAAATCGACCGGTGCGTGGTTGGGAGCCTGGGACGCTCGCCCTGAGAGCTTTCTGGGCATCTCATGGAGTTGCGCAGTGACAAACTATTTAGGCATAAGCTTGGCCCCCGAGTGCCTCAGGACTGGGGACTCGGGTATCCATATGAAAAGTTTGCATGCCAAAGCACAGGACTGGTATGGGAGATATTTGTCCTTCTTTAACCGTAGTAGGGTCTGCAATTCGGTATTTTTTCCTACTGTGTGGTACGCGGCACAAGCGATGCCTTGTAAGCTTATTGATGTTCAGAAAGTGAACCGGTTCTGCGCTGTGTATATATGGGACTCTAAGTTCGAGCGCATGCGGCGCAGCAATTTGTTCCTTTGCCGGGAGAAAGGTGGTCTCGGTCTAGTGAATGTTGAACTGAAGCTCCAAGTGCAGAGATTTATCTTTTTTCGCAGCCAACGTAACGAGCATTTGCGGAAAGCCATTCAAAAGCATGGCGGAAAATGCACAGCTCAGTGGATGCCGGTACCTAATGAATGGTCCGAGGGAGTTTGCACGCTCAAATTCTACAAAGAAATTGGGCGCGCATTGAAAACCTTTCACGCGATGTTTTCGAACGAATACCTTGCAAAGGTGAAATATCGCAGATTGTACTGGGATGCCCTGGAGCTGCTAACCCCCGTGCCCATATACCGTGCGAACCTTCGCGACACATCGTCCAGTGTTTTTAAAAGGCTTTCGTTCTACCCCGTTAAGACCGGCACAAAGGACTTTTTCTTTAAGTTTCATACCGAGGTTTTACCCGTCAAAAACTGGCTGGCCAAGAAGGGCTTCTTTGTGCCATGGTCAACGAATTGTGCGCTATGCCCCTACGAGGAAGACATGAGACATGTGTTCTTTGATTGCACCAATGCTCAATTGTTCTGGGCCCAGCTTAGACAAACGCTTCAGGTGCAGCTCTACCCAGAATGGGAAAGTTGTAAATTTTTGGAGTTTGGCAACGGCACAAACAGAAGCTGTCTCGAGACGCTAGCCCTTCTGGGTCTCCATGCTATCTGGCGCTCAAGGACAGATCACCTCCTGGTTGCAGTAGGTGGAAAACCTGCTTGGCGCCATTTTGTTAATGACTTCCAGTATGTTTCTTCAGTCCTCAGTGCGAGGGAGTGGACAGGATATGACGACTGGAAGGCGTTCCAAAAGCGTTTGTCTTGGCCGAGTTTTTGAGACTTTTTATGGTGCCCACCGGGGTCGCTTCTGTATGTGGATCGATGTAACCGGTTCGTGGTCCCGATACTCTCCGAGGACAGATTGAGTGTCAAGTGTGCTCTGCCTCTGCCACATGAGTGGTGGTTTTTAACATGTACATAGCATCACAAAGTTTTAAATAAAAAAAAAAAAAAAAAAAAAAAAAAAAAAAAAAAAGCCGAGTGGGCTAAAGCGCACACCCAGCTCGACGCGCGTGGAGCGAAAGCTCGCGCTGCAGAACCCAGGGATCCTGGGTTCGAGCCCCACCCCTGCCCGTTTCGATCTGGATGAGCATCGTACCGGCGTGCGGTCGTGTATCACTACTGCGTGGTGCACATTAAAGACCCGAGGCTAGCGGTTGTACTGCACTGGCTAAATTACTCATCTACAGCGTGTGACTCGTCGCAACTTTAATGGCTGACCAACTACACGCTGTATAAATATCCCCACAACCCCAATTTATTTTCTTTTGTGCGTCGCATCTAAGAAATGGTTTCATATCAACAAAAAAAAAATCCTCATAAGAAAATTGCTAAAAAGAAAGTAAAAAAAGAAAGCGTATGATACGGGCATACGCAGCTCCTACCTACATACGAGGCACACACTCCAACCCCCTCAACAAACCTGGAGATACGGATAGAGCCGTGATTTTAACCAATTTGCGAATGCTACATCGGACATAATGCAGAAGTAATTTATAATATTTTTGTGTTTACATCATGTTTCGGCAACAAAGCGTAACATTCAATAAGGTTCCGTAGGTTACACAGGCCGTAACTTCTTTCCGTCAGACGTAACTCAAAACCTTGACGTAAAGTTACTAAGCTGCAGCTTCGAAAAACTCGTTTTGACACTTCACTTTCCACGACACTTTTCGACGGTACTTGAATGCTCTGCAAGGGTGCCGTCGTACGGCATCGCATGGGTCGCTTGCTCCCGTCGCTTTCATGCGGTTTGCCTCTACGCGCGACTGACCGAGCGACAGCGAAGCGGGTCGCCGTCGCATGTCTCGTCGCTCGCCTAATCACTTGCATGCGGTTTATTCGTAAAGAACCCTATTTATGCCGTCCCTTCAAACCACGACCAACTACATCAAACGGCCATCGATCCCTTTGACCCACGCACGACCAACTCTGCGGTAGTTCCCCGATCTTACCGCTGGCTTGCACAGAGTCAAAACCAGTCCATTCGTATCGGCGCCCTCCTTTGCTCCTTGAAGTGCTTGAAATTTACCCCAGAAGATCTCAACAAACGAAGCTTTGCAAAGAGAGCGACCAACAGCGACCAGAAAAGGCGCCAAAAATTGCAGCACTGTTTCGGCCGTGAATGCATTTACAAATATTCTCCTATTTTAGAATTTTGTTTTGTTCAAAAAAATGTTTAAAATTTATTATTATATTCCTTATTTATTTTATTATCAATAAGTTTTTGTTTAGTCTTATTTTATCATTTTTTTTTTTAAAAAACGCTGTTTAAGGCTCGTTTTAATTCAGGAACAAAACCGAAACTAATTTCTATTATGGATTGATTTTCTTTTCCTAGGTTCAGTTTCTTTTTTACTTCAAGATGTGTCCCATGCAGTAGTTTTTCAGCTGTAGAAATGGTTCGCGGAGACTTTATTTTCTGACATACGTGTTCGATCCAGACACTTCAAAATATTTTTAAGGAGTTCAATCTTTTCTACACCGACGAGATCCTCACGGTTGGACAGCATCCATATCATCTGCAGTTTCTGTTGTTCAATGATGAGGCGATGCATTTCACCTGGACGGGCAGGTGACAGAACTACCGCTCTCGGAGTTCGACAAATCCGCACGGAGCACTCGAGAAAGCTTTGCAGTCGCCGAAGGTAACAGTATGCTGCGTAATTTGGCGAGAGGGCGTCGTTGTCCCCTTTTTCTTCAATGTCAACGTAACATGCAAGCACCTAGATGCTGCAGCATGATGTTCCTTCCCGAGTTGGAAATACGGCACATGCAGCGGAACGTATGGATCTTTATGCAGGATGGTGCGCAACCCCAATGTTCGACGACTAGTGAGGCACTGGCTGGAGGACAACTTCCCAGGATGCCATATGGATGGGCCGGGGATCGCCGAACATGCCGTGGGAGTGCCCCGATCGCCAGACCTCACGATATGCGACTGTTTCGTTTGGGGGTTTGTGAAGTCCCAGGTCTACAAGGGCCGCATCCCCGCACTCGACGCCTTATTAAGCAGCGCATCGATCGTTATATATAGATCTCATCACGGACGGGATGTGAGCTGCTGCATTCGGAGAGTACGTGACCAGGACTTGGCCTGTGCACTTGGCGCCTAGGAGGCCATGTCGAAGCCCTGGTTCCAACCGAATTAGAGCCGTATTTCACTGCCTAGAATTGATCTGAAAGCAGTCTACGGAACGAACTCACACCTTACCGTCAAGTGTACGGTTTATTTATTTTAATACCCTCACAAAGGCCCTTTTTAGGGTTGCCAAAAGCTGTCATCACGGAGCCTTGCACAATCTTGACGCGCCTGCTTCCCCGTGTCTCTGAATGCCCATGCAGATTAGATTCTTTGTATGTGCCGTCTTCTTTTTTCAGATATCGCTTA